ATAGAAACAGAATGCATATATGTATCTAACCTATAATTGGACACACGACTGCCAAGTTTCATGAATCTTTATTATTTTTTCCAAATATAAATATTTAAAATTAGCTTTTGGAGTTGTATGGTAGCTACCCGAACCAGTGCAGCCATTCCATTAAAATTTATTTATTTTACAAATTATTGGACACATCTTTGCAAAATTTGATATTAATATCTTTATTAGTTTTTGAAATATTTAAAAAAAAACTCTTTGAGTTGTATGGCAGCAATCCGAACCCGTTTTTCGAATTGGTCCAATTACAATAGCAGCCGTCGTTTGCACCAAAGAAAGAACTTGTGAAAGTTTTGGTGCCGATTGCGTTATACGTTTTTAAGCTATTGTGCAATCGACCGGACGGACATGGGAGACGCCTTCTTCAAGTGGTTACAAACCCCATACCAAAGTGAATATACCCTTCAGGAAGGTTCAGGGTATAAAAATGTAAAATGTATAAGAAATTGAAAATTATTTTAATTATATAAAAAAATTATTTTAAGAAAGGAAGATGAACAATTTAGTAAAACACCAAATTTATTAGAAATAAATTTTCTTGTAATGCTGTTCTTTAACTTATAATGACTACGGGACTAATCATTTACTTATCAACTACGGAAAATTTCCTTTTCAATATACACAATAATTACAATTTAACAAAATCCTCAACATTAACCAAAATTCAATATCATGCGCATAAAATTAGAGAAAATAATTTCTTTTTTTTTTTTATAGTAATTAAATAAGAAATTCTTAATTCGTTTCTATTCCTACATATTAAGTTCATTAAAGCCTACACACATTTAAATTTCTTAACTTCTTATACTCACTGCCTTACAAAAATGCCTCATGTATAAATTTTATAAAAATGATGTATAAAGAATATGAAAACAGAATTTGTATAAGCGCCACTTTGTCTTCCATTAAGGTGTGCATTTAATTTTATTTTTCTTTTTATAATTTATTCGAATTAAATGTTAGAGAATGAAAAAAGATGAATAAATTTTATTTTAATGTCATTAACACTGAATTTATAAAAAAAAAAATTTAAATAGGGAAAAAATTTTATAATTATTAAGAAGAAAATTTTGTATTCACAATAAGTAATAATTATTATTAAGTCAGATTCATATACAGTGCTAAATGTAGTTTATACTATATACAGTAATTATTTTCCAACAATAAAATTCATTTATCTTCCTTGACATTGCACTCAAATCTACCATTATTGTATAATAATGACAAACAGATGGTATAATAAGAATAATTAATTAATTGTTTTTTGTTGTTTTATTTTATTTTCCATACAATTTTTGTATATGCATAAATGTATAAAAGATTATTGTTATATAGGAGGCTGATGAATAAATTTTTATATGAAATATAAAATAGAATAAAATGCATAATAATTCCCACGTACTTGAATTTTATAAAATGAAACAATCAAAATGTTCATTTTGTTCACATTTTTTATTATTTATTTATTTTTTTTTACCTAACATTAACAGAGAAATGTAAAAATTTTTTGCATAGTTATGTAAATGTTATTTGGAATTGCATACATTGTATTCTTGTTTTATAAATAGACTAGACATAAACAAGACAATATACATACATATTTCCTAAGTTTGCAAGTATGTTATATAATTATTATATTTGTATACCTATAATTTTCATTACTTATATACTAACATAGATACGGTTAATAGTTAAAGTATGAATAATCTTGTTATTGGTCAAATTGGGATGATTAGTGTTAATTAAGCTATTATGACCTATTTTAATTAATTTTTATGCTATAAAGTAATGTCCAAAATGGTACTCAAGTTGAGAAGTCCTGAATATTACAAAAAAACTTTAATGAAAAACAACAGTCATTAACCCTACTCTTTTGTATATTATATCGGATCCAAAAATTTTATATAGATTTAATGAATTTTAGGTCGGAAATAATATTCCACTCCATTTTTGTATTAGGGATATTGAATATAACATATTCGTAAAAGTAGATTCATTTCGAAAAACTTCACATTTTTCGAATAAGATTGATATATTAAATTATTTGTACAAATACCCCGTTCACTTTTTCCAATATCGTAAAAATTTCAAGAAATTTCTTTAAAATTTTGATTTCGTTATCACCAATACGTGAGGCGAGCCATTTTTTCCTCGATAACAGTATTAAGATCACGAAATTAAGAACAAACATAAAATATTTTAAAAATATATTAATTCAAACCAAACCAAATATTACAGATACTTACTCAACCTTAGAAAAAATATATTCATATTTCTTTACTATTCTTTGATACTTATTTGTTTAATGTTATTCTAAATTAAATTGTTTCTATTAATTTTGATTAAAATGTGATTTATGACAATTAAAAATTCAATTTTTGCAATGCTTATTTAATTATTTGTGGTTAAAAGTTAAAGTAATAATAAAGTTTTCTTGCGTTTTCAACCAATTCGATATTAATGGCAATTTTTCATCTGATATAAAATTGCAGTAACTTATGTACATACATTCCAAGCATCCGCGGGCGAAGACATTTTACAGTTGGTTTGCAATTTATTTTTTTAAGTTCAGTTACCTATGTAAGTATATTTTGGTCAAATTTTCTCTTCAACCTCACGGACTAAATGTTGCAGTTTTCTTTTAATTTCGAAATTTCGATTATTTTAATTACTTACTTTGAGCCCAATTAATTAAATGCTTATAATTGCACTTAAAAAGCATGTAATAAAATACCTTTTTTTTTTTTTTAATTTCATTAAGGTATTAAAAGTGACATTATTAATATTAAAAAAATGAAAATGTGTGCACAAATTAAAAATTTCACCAACATGCTTATGTACATATTTATTAGCATTGTAGCCTTCATTATCAAGTAACTAATATGTACCTGCATAGCAATTTTAGTGTAATAATAATTACAATTGTTGGAATAATGCAAGTATTGTTTTAGATTGCATGTCAGACACCTACTTATCAGCCTAATCGTGTATCTCGATTTTTCATATCACTTTCTATTTACTTTTAAATTAGAATTTTCGAATCTTTTCCAATGGATATTTCATTTTTCCAATAAGTCTCGCTTTTTCAATGGTATTTTTGCATTTTTTCTTTCAAATTATGGCCTAAACGTCTCACCTTCAAAAACAAAATAAATTTTATATACATTAAACGAGATACGCAAAAAGGAACTCACTCAAAATTAATATTATACAAATATATTATGATAGTTACGCACCTTCTCACTTGATGAGTAAAATAGCGAAGTACACGATGCAGCTCATATATAAAATAAAATGTAGTAGGTATTTGACTATAGTAGGTATGTCAGGTTATTGGAACTAAAATAACGAAAATTGAAGTCTGTTCAAATCTTCCAAATTTTTTATTTTGAAATATCACCTCCTGGAACTAATACCATATAGGCCATTTTTTCTAACGCAGAAAAGATACACATGTTGTGCAAATATTTTTAAAATTGTTACATCCCAATTGATGTAAAAGATTATATATATATACCGTTATCGTAATCGTTTAAGGCAGCAAAATAGTTCCTTGGCATGCTCGAATAATTGGCCGTGAAATTTTTGAGTTATTGCTGCGAAGCAAACAAATGAAGAAACACTAAACATGGCCCAAACGATTAAGGTAAAATTAATTTTCAATTAAGTGAGAATGTATGTCTTTCCTGGAACCACTAGTTTTAATAATTAACTTTAGTACATAATTTACTGTATTACAGCTCTTATGGAGCCATAAACGTATTGTATAGCTTTATATCTATTAAATGCGTTTCTTGTCAGATTATTTTATTAACTTTTATTATTTAAACTTTAATTATATGTATTTAAAAGCAATGTTTCGTTTTTAAATAAACGCCACATACAAAATTCTTAATACTTTAAATTCCTTAAATGCACTTAAATTTTCAAGCAATTTCTACAAGTATCACTACTTGAGAGCTTTAACATTTTATTTTATTGTGTATAAGTTTTAATTATAAGCTATGCGACTAAAATTGTGCAGTGGTTTGTACATAAATTATCCAGTATTTATACAAAATGTTTTTCTGCTTATTTTTTATTGAATTTTAGTGAAAATATTCAAGTTTTCTGAAATACGTTGATTGATTTCCTGAATAAATAAGTAAGTGAATGTATGAAAGCAAATTATTTTTGTTATAAACATATTAACTACATTATGTATGTATATATAAGTTATATATGTACATATATATGCATGCATTTATGTGCATACAAATATTTTTAATTGCATGGAACAGAGTATGCAAAACTTTTACTTATTAAATAAAATGAATGTTGTAATACATAACGCACACAACATTGTAAGTCGTACTTAGTTTGTAATATACATTTGTGCGTAGGTATGTACATCCTTGTATAAACTTTACATTTTTTTATGGATTTTGTCTTTTTTACCAAGATTTTATAATTCTTCTTTTTCTGGCTTATAAACTTTTTTAAAAGTATCAAAGTAGCAGCCCTGCTAAGAAATATAGTAAATGGGATAACTACATACATACTTACAGTTATTTTTATATCAAATCAAATGTGATCTATGATCTATATAAGTATATATTTGTACAAAATTCAGAATAGTCCATAGTAGTACACAGCGGCCTAGCGCAAACATTTAATCTTTGACCTAAAATTTGATAATGTTTATATTAATATTGTTGTTGTATTTTTATCCACTTTTTCAAAAAAAAAAAAAACAATATGTAGCCACAATATTTGTAAATAATATTTATCTTTTAACTATATACAGAAAAAAAATAGATGGGTTGTCAAATTAACAAGAACAAAATGTTGATTTTGAACTAAACAAGTTTTGTCTATTGTGAATGAAAAGTTTATTGGGAAATATTTACATCTGATATTGACATAACGTTAGTTGAAAATTTTAAACATGACAAAGTGACATTTTTTAATTAAGCGATTTAAAAATTAGAAAAAAATTAGTAATTTTTAAGTATTTTATTTATTTCGAATTATTTTAGAATATTAAGAGTAAAATGTCTAAAGATATTAAAGCAGAAAATGATACTTTCATAGATTGCATTGTGTATGACGATGGAGATATAAATGAAGAAGAAAATTCCATTTTAACTTCAATTAAGGAAACTGTTCCCAATAGTGAGAACTGCAAAGATAAATATAATGTAAAAATTATAAGGCCAATAGATCCAAATGATATAAAATTTGGTGAAATTTTTTTATCAAATAATGGTGCCAAATTATATTTTATTTGTTATTTTTGTAGTAAATCGTATTACAAAATTCAAAACTATGTACAGCACTGTGTAGATGATCACGACATTGAATCTTGGAAAATTTTTAGTTTTTTGCAGGATAATAAAATTTCAAATGCATCCAACACTACGAAAAATAAATTAAAACATGCTAGTATTGAAAATATTTTCAAAAATCACGATCACAATTATGAAAGTAGAAATTTTTACGAAAATGCAGAAATATTGTCAGACAAAGATGATGAAATTTTGAGGAACTTCAAAAAGTTTAAGCCGGACGATAATTTAAATGATTCAGAAGCTCAGCTTGAAGAATTATCTGGTGAGTTTGATGAAGAATATTTAGAAGAATATAAAACAAGTCTCGGACAATCAGAAGATTCAGATGATAGTACAGATTTTGAGGATCCTGCAGATTTGACTAAGCTGAAATATTGTATTCACTGCTTATCTAAAGTCAAGAATTTTAAATTACATATGAGAATAAAACACTCTGACTTGTTGCATAAATGTGAGACTCCTTATTGTTATGAGCTATTCTTAACAGAAAAGCGTTTAAAAGAGCATATTGCTGTGATCCATAGAGATCCCGAAAAACCTTTTGCTTGCAAAAATTGTGATTACAAAACAAACAAAAAGAAGAGTCTTGATGTTCATTTTAAGCGAATACATTTAAATATTAGGAACAAAAAGTGTTCATATTGTGAGAAAACCTTTTATGATTCAGGTGAATTAAAAAAGCATGAAAGAGTACATACAGGGGAACGTCCAGCAATCTGTTATATATGTGGGAAAGGTTTGCGGACCACACAAGACTTAAATAAACACATATTACGCGATCACGAAGCACCAACATTCAATTGCAAAGTTTGCGGAAAAAAATTTCATTTGAAAGGTATATATACAAATTGAGTGTAAATAAATTTTGTAATACATATACTTTTGTAGAAACTTTACTAAAGCATAATTTTGTTCACTCGAACGAGAGACCCAACATTTGTCATGTTTGTGGAAAGGCTTTTAAGCATGTGAAATATCTGAGAGAACATATAGATTTACATAGTGGAACAAAAAAATATGAGTGTAAGACTTGTGGAAAAAAATTCGCTCAAAAAAATAATTACACAGGACATCAAAAAATTCATACTAAAACAAATAAAAGAGAAGCTGAAAAATCATGAGGAAAATTTCTATATTTACAATCATACACAATAAAAAAGAATATATACATACATATTCATATGTGTAAAAAGAAAAAGGAACTATTTATTCAATTTGTCTAAATAAGCACCTACAATAAGGTCCTTTTCATTAATTTGGAATGTTTCCATCATTTCTTTTGCAATTTTTTGACCTTCTTCAACAGTTTGTTCAACACTTAGCCCAACCTCAAATTCTAAATAATTTCCTAGACCTTCAACTTTGTCTAGATGAATTCTTGTCGTTTGGTGCATGAATAACAAACGTTCTTTTTTTACAATCCCAATAATTCCGTTTGTTGTTGCAAGTATTTTTTCAAGTTTTTCTGGTTCATCTACCTCAATTTTATCATATTGCGAAAGTTTTGGTCCTTCTAAATCAGGACGATCATAGTAAAGTAATTGTGATTTAGATGGTGGTTGAAGATACCTTAATTTTAATCTTCCAGATTGACTTTTGAAAAAAACATCTCTTTGTATAATTAGTTCACCAATGCTAGATGTTAAATTTTTTGCAATATCAATGCGTTTTTGAAATTCTTCATCAGAACCAATTTTAGCTTTTATTTCTACATTACGTTCTGATGCTGGTTTCATATTCATCAAAGTATTTAAATATAAATATAAATTTTTTGTGTTACTAAAGTTCAAATCTATAAATTTTAAATTTTCAAAATACTACCACCCCGCTATATGACATATGAAAATTGGCATTTTGTGATTTGTCAAAATGTGTTATCATATGTAAATTATGACTTTATGCCAGAGCTAAAATTGAATATATACTCAGTTCTATCAACTGCACGTCATAGTCAAATCATCTAACGTTTGGTTTCGGTATTGCTAATTCAAAACGCCAAAAAATTATCAATAAAATTTATCTGTCTAAACATTTTGCTTTATTTTAACCATTTTGCGTTAGTTTAAATATTAAAACATTCAGCGGATTTAAAAACTTTAATTTTCGATGTAATACATATATTTACATAATACATTCATACAATTATTTCATATCTTAAAATTCGTCATAATATAATATTATGAAATTTTGAAGTTTAATTTTTAATTATTTTCGATATTGACGCAAAATACGAAAATTTATATATTAAATGAGCACTGGAATTAGCCTAAAAATTTACAACTGCTTATTTGTAAAAACTTGTGCAGAAATCAATGAAACTGATTGATTGGTTTATTGAAGAACAATTTAACCAATCCGAGCGCATGGTAGATGAATAAATACGAATACATAGGTTTATTTAGAAAACATAGGTATTTTATTTAGAAGAAATGTGTTTATATATAGGTTCTTTTTTTGAAAAAATTAAATTTGTGCATTACGGATCTCATCTACATATGCATCTTTAATTCAAGTTACTTTCAGTGTTTCTGGCAATGCTAATTTCAAAATTCAATTTGCTGTCAGCCGTAATTTTCATTGACGGAAAATTTCATGCAACAACTTCTTTGACATTTAACATGGCGTCTCTTTCTTGTGTGGGGAATTTTTATTTGTTTGGCTGGTTCCTTTGGTAGATTTTATATTTGTCAACAAAAAAAAGTGACTAAATAAAAATTACCGAAATAGTAAATTAAAAAATTAGTTAATTTTCTTACTTTTTCTATAAAAGTTTAAAATGTCCCTCGCAAAATTAAATTTAGAAAATGTTGTCTTTCAAATAGTTGGAAAAACATTAAAAATAATAGATAATCCAATACAGTCACCACCGACATCAAATTCAACGAATATAAAAAAAAATAAAACAATTAATGAAAATGATAAAAAATTTGGTGAAATTTATTTAGCTCAAGATGGTCGGTTTTATTATAATTGTGAATTTTGCAATAATAACTATTTTTGCATAAAGTACTTCACCAAACATTTAATTGAAGAACATAAAACTTTATATACACAAAATGCATCAATTCAAATTGTTGAAGAAATAAAAATTGAAGATGATCATTTATATGCAACTCAAAATGAATTGAATCAGAGTCAAGTATTGTTAGGAGATCAAGATATGCAAATGGAAACGGTAATTTATGAAGAAGATTCTGACAATCAAAATTATATTGAGCAGATTCATCGACAACAGCAACAAGATCAAGAAAATATTATAAATGAAAATGAGAACGTCATAAATAATAACAATACAGCTACCAATACAACAACAACGACCTATACTTTTAAGGATGATAATGTAAGAATAGTGAATGATCCATCAGGTAACACGTATCGTATTGAAACCGTTGAAACAGTAAATAATCATCAAGAAACTGAAGAGCAGCTAAGGAAAAATGCTGGTAGTGTTTTAGTTGCTTTGGAAACTGAACTATTACAGGAGGAGTACAATAACGAAACTCAAACTATTTATGCAAACGATTTTGTAGAAGAAACAGAACAACAAGTTTGTTCACAGGGAATCCGATCCGTTGAAAATGATCCATTGAATTTAAATGACAGTGGGAAAAGAACATTCTTTGATGATTTATATGATTCATTTGAATATAAAAAATGTAAGTTATGTAATGTTAAGACTGGCCAAATGCTAACACATTTAAAATATAAACACCCCAATGCCATTAAATGTAATATATCAGATTGTAATATGCCATTTGATTCCGAGGAAGAATATAATGCACATAAAGCAGAATTACATATAAATCCAAATTTTCCATTTCAATGTAAAAGTTGCTCTTATAAATGTAAATATCGTAGTGGCATTTTAAATCATTATAATCGTATTCATTTACAAAAACCAAAGTTTCAGTGCAATTTGTGTGATAAGAGCTTTTACGCATATCATGTACGAAAAAGACACATTAAAGAATGTCACAATAACGGAAAACTGGTTACGGTTGTGAAAGAAATAAGGAATGATAGTTTTTAAATACATAAAATATATAAAAAAAAACATAATTATTGTCACACTTAATGTAATATTTAATATTTAAGAATAAATTCTATCTAAAATTCACGTATGTAATAATCTAAGTCAATTTTGTTGAAAATTAGAAATTAAAATAATAACTATAGATAAAAATATAAAAGAATTACAATTTTGTTTATATTATAAAGTAATAGTGTAATATTTTAATATTTGCAACATTTGCAGAATTATCTCTAAAATTATTATTATGTATTTAATTACATTTCTATTTAAAATTATATATAAGTTGTAAGTAAAGTATGTAGGAGTACCATTGTCTCGCTTCCGTATGAAAGTTTTCCTTAAGTCATTAATTGTTTAAGAAAGGATTTAAATAAAAAAAATGCTGGCATAATTTAAGATTGATTTTTCGATGTACGTATTTTTAACAATGTTTTTTTTTTTAAATAAAATAATAAAAATTGGCAGAATACTTTTATTTTATGCATTAAAATTTTTAATTTTAAAATACTTTTTTTTTTTGCATTAACAATTTTTACTACTTTTGCAGTAGGGTAGGTACTTATTTATGAATAACATTTTTACAAAACTAAACTTATTCTAGCAAATATACATTTCCGACAAACATATTTAAATTAAGAATAACAAAATCATTATATTTAAATAGGTACATGTAGCAAAATATATTATATAATTTAATTAAAAAATAGTTAATACTTTGAGAAATCTCGGGATTTATATGGTACAGGGCGTACATAATTACGCTGTAATTTCTTTAATATATACATATATGTATACGCATTTCAAATGGTAAGAACAATATACCTATATGATTTGCAAAAATATTAACATAATTTAAATAAATTTAAAGATGCTTAGTCTTCTAAATTGTGTATGGCTTTATGATATCTGAGATTGGAATTTCTGCTAAAAGACTTTCCGCAATCAGTGCAAGTCCAACGTTTACGATCTGGATTATGAATGTTATTAAAATGATCTCTCTTATGTTTTTTCAAAAAAAATCGATCGCCACAAATTTCACAAATTACTTTTTTTTCATTTTCTGCATGCTTTGTCATCTGATGTTCTTTTAAGGTTTCTAAAATAGAATATATTATTTTCTTAATATAATATTCTTAAATACTTAATAACATTAAATATGTACATACGTTGTCGATGAAATTTTTTATTACAAATTTTACAATCAAAAAGTGGCTCAGAATGATATTTCTGAATATGCAAATTCAATTGTTGTTTTGTTGGATATTTTGAATTGCATAATTTACAATTATATGGTTTTTGACCAGTATGGCTTCTCATATGTTTTACTTTTTCATAATTTGAAAAAAATTTCATATCACAAAAATCACAATCGAAACCTTTTATGTTCAAATGCACACGTTGATAATGAAATCGAAAAGAATATAAATTATTTGTTTTATAAGAGCAAATAATACATGTAAAAGCATGGTCTGGATCATTGTGAAACCTTTCTTGATGTATATTCAATTCTGGTAATGTGTTAAAGGTTTGAAAACATTTTCCAATCTCACAAAGTATTATTTCAGGATGTCGATTTTTATAATGTCGCGAAATATGACGGAACTTAATATTGCATATATGGCATAACGATTGATCGGAACTTAAACCGGCTAATTTTTGATAAAATTCTTCATCAGATTTTTGAGCGTCACTTTGATTTGAAATATCGAAATTTGGATTTTCTTCACATGCATCAATGGATTTAATTAATTTATTATCAAGCATTTTCTCCTCTAATATTATACTGTCACAATATTCATCTTTACATTCTGTTATATATTCGTTATTTGATTCATTCTCATCAAAATCTATTATATTGTTCTCAAAATCATTTTTTAGTGAAGTTAATTTGTTTAATTCAAATAATTCTTCTACACACGACGAACTCGATTGATCACTAACATTTTCAAATTTCAAATTTTCTGCTTCAAACATGTCTGAAGGTATTGCACATATTGCTTTTATTTCAGTTTGTTGATGAACATTTTCAATTTCAATATTATTCATGAAATTTAATCCTTCAGTATTATTGTATTTGCTTTCAAAAATTTCCGGTTCATCACGGTTTTTATAATTAGTAATAAGGTTTTCAACATTTTGAACAATTCTGCATATAGCGTGATTATCTATAAAATGCTTTAGTAAGTAATTCATGTTTTCAATTTCCGTTTTATAAAGGCAAATACTACATTGAGCAAAAATTTTTCCATCTTTTGTTATGAAAACCTCTACAACTTTGGTACATTCAAAGTTTTCATCATTTCTTGATAAACTCAAAGATTTTTGTGATTTTATTTTTAGAAATTTACTAATAAGATCCTCATCACTGCTATAACTTGAATCGTTTAACGTGAAATCGTTCTCCAAATTACTACCCATGTTGTTTCTTTTCCAACTGGAATTAAAAATTATGTACTTTTTATGTGTGCTTATTCAAATTTATTGGATAACCTCCACGTGTTACATAGTTTTTAGTAAAAAAATTTTTATAACAAAAATTTCATTTATAAAACTTGGCTATTTTATTTTCCATTATTTATTTATTAAATGTTTAATGAAACTTGTCTAGAGCCTGAATTAGGAGCATTTATTTAAAAAATCTTATATGTGTGTACTTACAATATTGCGCTTAAATATCTTTCTTTTTTTTTAAATTTTTCAAAATGCCAGCATTTTATGTTACGTATTGCTGAAAATTGTGTTTATAGCCCATTTTTTTTGTTTTTGCTTTAAATAAGGTCAATTCAATTTTGTTTTATAATTTTTGTTTTTTATTTCTCTTGCACTAAATTTCTAAATATAAATGTTTGCCACCTGTTTCTGATTTGAATAAAAATAAAATTTTAAAAATAATAACACATATTTGACATTGACAGCCAAATTGAAAAAAAAATTCTCGAGTATTGTGAATAGATGTACAGGTACATTTTTACAAATTCACAAAGTTGTGATTCACATTAAAACCGGTTTTATTTTAACTCTTTATATTGATTTACTAAATAGTGGACAATATCAACATGTAGCTATAGAATTTTCAGATTAAATTATTGGATTGGATATATGAAACCATCTTCAAAACTTAATTTTTAAATTATTAAAACAAACGAATGCGTAATTTTTGATATATATGTATTATGATTTTTCGTAGTATATCTATATATTTTGTAGTTATGCATAGATATTTCAGTTATAAAGATCGGAAACAATGGCCAAGAACTAGTTGTATGTGGATGTATATTTAAATATTGTATGCGAATAAAACACAATTTTGCATGCAGGATTTTATAATTTTTATTAAATCCAGTAAATTTTTATGTTTAAAATTGAAAACTTACATAGCTAACATAATTAGACAATATGCTTACATACTTATCTTCCAGTACAAAATATTAAATTATATTATAATTGTTAAACTTTAAAAATAAAAAAAAAATCAGGGACAACTTAATAAAAATAACTAAAATTACAACTTAAAACTACTATTCTCGATATTTAGTCTAGTATGAAATAGTTATTCCTTTTCGTTTTTCAAATTTTTTTGTTTTTGAAGATTATATAAGATTCAAATTTAGAAATTTTCATTCTAACAATAATTTTTGAATAAATTAAGAAAAAATTAAATTGCAATGTCTTTTTTTACATGATTTCAAATTTTTTTAAGTAGGTAGAATTTATTCGGATTTGAATGAATATAATTTCTCCTTGCAATTTAAAATTTTTATGTTATTTATTCTCAAAAATTAAATTTTATGACACATTGTTTGAAGAAAATTTTTTGGAATTGGAAGAAACTTTTTTCTTTTTAATATGTTTACCCAAAATATGAACTTTAAGTTGAGGTCTTTCATTAAATATTTCATTGCACAATTTACATTTGTATTCTCTTGGTTCATGTTTCTTGGTATAATGTCTCTTTAAAGCATCTCTTTTAAAGAATCTATCGCCACATAAATGACAAACGATTTTCTTTTCTCCATGTATAACCGAATGTTCTTTTAGTGCACCTAAAAATTGAAAAAATTTATTAAAATTGTATATTTATATTTAAATATAATTTAGTATTTACGTTTAGTATGGAGTTTCTTTTGACAAATATCGCACTCATATTGTGGATCTTGATGTTTTTTCTGTATATGTAAATTCAACTGTTGACCACATGCGAATTTTCGACCACAAAGTGTACATACATATGGTTTTTGACCTGTGTGAACTCGCATATGTTTTTGTCTTTCTGAATCGCAATAAAATTTCATTTCACATATTTCACATGGAAAATCTTTTTTATTCATATGGATACGCTGATAATGAGTTCTAAATAAAACCAAAGTTCTGGATTTGTGTCCACACACAGTACACGTAAATGCATAAACAGGATCAAAATGAATTCTTTTCGTATGTGTATTCAACTCAGCTATTGTATCGAAAGTCTCATAACAACTACCACGTTCGCATACATAAGCATAAGGGTGAACACTTTTGTAATGTTTAGCTATATATCTTACTGAGGTATTGCAATGTTTACAATGGAAGTATGTTGGATCTTTTCCAATTCGATTATAAAATTTATCATCCAATTTTTGTATATGTTCCGAATCAGTAATTTCTGCATTTGGATCACCCTCTTCAACGACAATTCCAGCTGGAAATTTAATATCTTCAGCATCTTGCTTCAAAGATTCTTTAATACTTGTAGTCAATAAATGTTTATACATTTCAGCTTTTCTTTCTTCGTTCATTTGATCAGCTTTCTTTGTGGATGTAGGTTGAATTGATTTAGTTTTATACCTTCTTTTTTCTTTTTTTTCAGGTACACTAACTTCTTCTTTAACATCAACGGGTATTACAAAAGACGCAGGAGTCTCTTGTGCTTTAGCGTGTCGCGTGTATTTTGCAGTTACCTTATTTGATTTATTCATAGAAAATATAAATGATTGATAGAAAAGCTTTTCTTTCGCAGTTTTCCGATATGTCGTGCTATACTTCCCCTCGGGTTTTAAATAGTGGGTTGTATGGTTCTTTATAAAATGCTGTAGAATATCATTAACATGAAAACTTTTCTTTTCAGGACAAAATTTACATTTTGCATAAAATTTTCCGGTTGGTGAGACATATATTTCGGCTAACTTTGATTTTCGGAAAAAGTTATCGCTAGGAATTGTTGTTTCAAATTCTTTTGGTGCGCTTTTTGGAGGTGCCTTCCGTTTTGACGCTTTGGAATTTTTCTTACGCTTAGATGTGCTCCCGTCTTCATCTTCAAATGACTCAGAGTCCTCGTCATCTTCTTTTAAAAAAACTGCATTTATCTTTGCTTCTTCGTCGTATACTAAAATTAACTGAGTTTAAAAAAATTTTTGGTAAGCACTTATTGAATTCGTTACCAATTAACTGCTTAGATAGGTCTGGAAATATAGTAGGTATCCACTCAGTGTCATAAGATTCTTCTGAAAAATGCAGTGAACAAACCCTTGATTCTTCAGTAAATTTATCTACTTTCATTTTATTTTCTAAATTTCTAATCCATTTCTCCGCCAAGTAAAGGTTTTCTGGAAGTCTAAAAAAGAATTTAATAATTTTAGTAGATTTGATAATTGCCGCCCCTATCAACTTTGCTTACGAATAAAAATGTATTTGCAACTGCTCCGATGCCGGGTTATCCATATCTGAATTACATCCTTTCACTATACAATTTCTATTACCCATTTTTCATAAAATTTTACTTTAAAAATTACAAATTTTACTGAAAATTAATTTTTAATTTTTTTTATTGCTTTCTGCCAATACACGAAAAAGAAACTCCAACATAAACAATATTTTGACAACATAAAGTGACATTCAATTTACAATAGAAAATTTTTTAATTTGAAGTTGACGCTTGAAAAGCTTTAAATCACAATAGTAATTTTATGTGTTGTAAAATTGTTGATGGATTTTATTGTATGCACACTTTCAATCAGTTTACAATGCAAAAATTTGTTCAACAATCGAATTTTTCCTTGGTCTCGTCTCATACTAAAGCTATTTACCCGTATCTTTTTCTGTTTTATATGAAACTATTATATACTATTTTAGGTCAGTCTTTTATATGATAAACAGAATACTGATTACAAGATATTTCTAAAAAAAACTACAAAATGATTCTTGTAAAATTTTAAGCAATTATGTAGTTGGTTAGCAAAATTAAGAAAAAATAAATTATGACGTAAACATATATTACGTATAATGTAGTAGATTAGTTTGTGGTACTAGAATATTTTGTAGCGGTAACCATTGTGAATTAAAGAAATAGTGCTTCAAAAATTCAATTTTCTTTTGACGTTTTAAATTAAAAAGAACAAACCAAATTTTATTTTCAATTTTAATACATGAAGTACCTAAGCAAATTTTGAAAATAAAAAATACAAGCATTTTGTTTTAAATTAATTTACCTTATTATTTTTAATGTGTACTTAGATACCAAAAGATTATGTTAAAAATTAGCTTGGATAAAACAAAGTTATCAGTTAGCGATAATTTAGTACAAATAAAAACTACTCTCACAAACGAGAACAATGTCATTAAGGAATCGAATACTAATCCGAATGATTGCAAATTTGGTGAAATTTATTTAGCGTTAGACGGCAGAATATACTTTGTTTGTAAATTTTGTGAAGCAAATTATTATTGCTTTAAATCATTCCAAAATCATTTTCTCAATGATCATGCTATTGATTGGAGTGGTTTAATATATCCAGATGGAAATTTTGCTTGCTGTAGCAAAGTAGAACCAGATTACACTTCATGTAGAGGAGATTTTGAAGTCATAGAGGACTGCATAGTAGAGGAAAAAACAGATTTAATTAAAGGATATACGGAGCAAGAAATTATAGATCAACATGAAATAGTCGCGGAGGAAGAAGTTGGTGACGATCAGCATTTTCAATCACAGGAAATCGTAGCTGTTAAAGATACTAATTCTATAGATGACTCTTTTTATATTGTTCAGGGATATGATCCAGATGAAATTTACAAAAGTAGCTTTAATAATCAATCTTATATTAAGGTTGAAAAAAGCAATTTGGAATATAAAGATCAGGTAAGCTTATTTTTTTTTAAATGTAATAAAAATTATTGAACTGTTTCCTTCAGCAACCACAATATACGCAGTTACAAAATTGTCCCTTTGTACAAATGGTTGTTAAGGGTGAAAGTCCTATTATAGAAGAGGAAGTTTACACCCAAAATGAGTTTTCTAACGATTCTCAACAAATTTTTGATATCAGCCGGAACGAAATTGAAGATGATGATACAATAGACCCACCAAAAGATGTTGATTTGAATTGCCACCAGATACCTAAACATTTTCTAAATACATTGCGGCAGATAAAATATGGCAGATGTAAATTTTGTAACAGAAGATACGAAGATTTAAATTCACATTACAAGCAGTATTTACAGAAATTTGTCTGCCATATTTCGCAGTGTTCTGAACCATTCGATACGATAAATGATTTAAACGAACATTTTGTGGTATTGCATTCAGACACAGAATTTTTATTTAAATGCTTCTTTTGTGATTTCAAAGACAACGAGAAACAAAATTTGATATTACACTATAGAAAATCTCATTTGTTAGAAAATACTTTCAAATGTTCAAAATGTGATTTTGAATCTTTTTCTCAAGGAGAACTAGAAGCTCATGATAGTACTCATGCCACTTTCGCAGAATTAAGTTCAGAAACAAGAATAGAGGAAAACATAGACAACAATAGTGCTTTAAACGATAACATGGACTATGAAGATGAAACTGAACCAAATATAAAAGACAAAAATATAGACACAGATTCTGATACTTCATCTGGGATAGGAGAAACAGATACAAGGCGAAAAGAAAACCATCATATTGAAGTAGACGATCCGCTGCATCCACACTTTATTAGTCTAATGAAACAATTTCACACAAGACGGTGTAAAATATGTAAAGTTAAATCTTCCCTTCTATCTACACACTATAGAAAAATTCATTTTGAGAAATTCACCTGCGATATTAATCAATGTTCAGAACCTTTTGATACGGAGGAAGAGTTAGCTGCGCATACAGCAGAATTACACATTGATCCAGAAAATCCATTTAAATGTGCTTATTGCGAATATAAGACAACGGAAAAACGTCGTCTGTCTTATCATTATAGAAGAAATCATTTAGTAGAAAAAAAGTACGAATGCAATTATTGTCCAATGAAATTCTTTTATGAAAAAGAAAGAGTGCAACATCATAGAGTACATACTGGAGAACATCCATTTTCATGCGATTTATGTGGGCAAGCATTTAAAACGGCTGTTATAATGCGTATGCACAAAAAGAGAAAGCACGAACCGCCATCAGAAAGTTGTGATATATGTGGAAAAATGTTTTCAACCAAAGGTAAGTAAACATTAAAAATTTATTGAATAACCTATATATAAAGTAAATAATTCATTTTTGTGATATCTCAAAGAATATTTTCAAACAAATTCTGTGTATCTTTGGTAGAAAATCTTATCATAAATACTTTCAAATCTTTCTTAATTTTTTCTAATTTTTGCATATCTACGACAACATTTAGGTTTCAGTTTGGCTTTCAGGGTAAGCCTAGCAAAATAACAAATTTTAAATGAAAAATATAAGTTTGAATTTCCTAAAAAGGGTAGGATAAGAACAAAATTTGAATTATTTACTAGAAAAGCCAGAAAAAGGGATCAACTGATGGCTATCATAAAAAAAAAATGGTTAAGTCATCTAAATAATTTTAATAATTTTGTTCTTATTCTCTTTTTAGAAAATTTAAAAAATCATCTTAAAAGGCATTTAGGCACTTTACGTTGTATTTGTCATATATGTGGAATTTCTTTTTCTAGACCACAATGTCTAAGAAATCATTTACCAGTTCATTCTGGAGAAGTTTTCGAATGCAATTTATGTCAGCGTAAATTTACAAGTAAACAAAGATTCAATGACCATTTGAAACTACATAAAAAATATGAAAAATTTGAATTAGGAAGCATACCTATTAGAAAATATAGATCAAAAGCTAAGGAAACAATAAAAATTTAATTAATAAATAACATTGTGCTCTTCTAAATTAATTTATATTTTTAGTAAGTAACAAATCTTTGTCATTTTGTGTTAATTCAAAAATCAACATCTACTACTGTTTCATTAAAATTTCATTTATAAGCCAATAAGCATTTTTATCATTACATAATGTTTAATTTGTAGAATCTTTTCATTCAAAATTTGCAAAATTTTGCTTAATAATATTTGAGACAGCAAATTTAATTTATAAGTAGAAATTCCATTTCATTCAATATTGCAGTAAATGCAGGCTCTAACAAAATTATTTAGAGAAAAAAAAATTAAAATTTCATTTTTTAAATTTTAATATGCATATGAACGTTTTATTTTAGTCATTGTTGAATTGAATTTAAAAGCAATTAAAGAGATAGTATTTAATAACAAAATTATTTTTTATTTCAATTTTGTAATATTTTAATGATTTTTTAATATTTTATTATTTTAGATGGCGTCAGAAGTCATATGAATGTTCATCGAACTGATAAATTATTTACTTGCGATCTATGTGGTATTTCATTTTTACGTAAAGATTCTTTAACTACACATTTGAATACACATAGTGTTGTAAAACAATTTGCTTGTAATTTTTGTGAAAAGCGATTCGCCCATAAAGGAACTTTAAGAGATCATTTTAAAACACAGCATAATCCAAAATATACAACGCTACCCTCGAAAAAAATTAAAAGAAATCCAAATTACGAATATGTTGATGATTAAAATTTAAATAAGATTAGGCAATGTATTACAATATGTATATGTATCAGTACTTATACATAATAATATGTATTATACATTTTTTATTTATTTTAGTTACTCTATAATTTTAGTTTTAAAATTTTTTTTTAAGACGAAATTGTAAGATTTTTTTTAAAAAAAAAAATAAATATTTTTGTATTAGCTTTTGAATTAAATTTTTCTATTAAAAAAATACTAATTATGTAGGTATGAAAATAAAAATGAAAAGAAATTATCAGAAAATAAATTTAAAATAAACAGAAATAAAATATACTTACTTATATTTTTTCTTAAAGCAAAAAATTAATCTATCACACATTTTAGATTTAATAAATAACGATTAAGTGAGAGACTCAGTCTTACAATGTTGCTTTAGTACTAGAAAAATAATATAAAGCCAAATGGATCGGAACATTACTGTATTTAAACTATAAATTAATTAGTTATATGAAAAGAGTATAAATTTTATTGAAATATACAATTATGTACAATTTATGCCATGACTAGATATAAGTAATGAGTAAATTCGACATTGCATCATTGGCATGGTATATAGACTAAATAATGCTCTGTAAGCACGTCGATGCAGTTTTAAATTGGATTAATCTTAATTTAGATCTTATTTCTGGAGCTTATCTAAAGTAAAAGTAAAAAGAAAATAATATGAAAGTTAATGGTAGAATGCGTTTTTGCAATCACAAAATAAGTTTGTAAGCTTCCATGTATAATACGTCATTAAAGAAATTTAATCATATTTTTCCAAAAAAACTATAAATTTTAAAAAATAAATACATAAATTTTTATTTTTTCTTAGGAATCACATTTATAATTGACAAATGTTACTTAAACAAATACCAATTTTTGGAGAACAATTAGTCGTAGAATTATAAAGAAAGAAATAATTTGTACAAAATATGGAAGAAGATAAAGATTATATAACAGTTGTGGAAGTAGATGATCCGAATGGTAAAAAACTCTCTCAAGAGAGAGTTATATTACCAAACGAGCATAACGATTTAGATGAAGATTCCTCATTTATAACGGTATTATCTATAAATGAAAATGAATCTAAATTAAATCAAGAAAATAAAAAACAATTAACTGTAATATCAGAAATAGTTGTTGTATATCGTTTACCCGGAGAAAGATTAGGATTTGGATTAAAATTCCAAGGTGGAACTAAGTCAAATGAAAAAATACAAAGACTTTTTATACAATCATGCGCCCCAGATAGTCCAGCTTCACGTGTAAAAGCTAGTTGGGGTAATTTGAAAGAAGGTGATGAAATTTTAACAATTGATGATCAGCCTGTTATTCAAATGACACGAATAGAATGTGTTAAGTGTTTGAAAGAAAGTAATGTTGCCATAAAATTGGAACTAAGGAATGGCGATGGAATTAAAATTGAAAATATTGAAGAAGAGAAAGCAAAATTAAATCAGCAACCTCCACCGCCACCACCAGTACCACCAAGAAAATTATTAAAGAGAAGACTTTCTGATAAAATTATAACTAAAAAAGATGAAAAGTGCGTAACTCCACCACCAGATCCAGAATATTACATTAATTTATTATCAGATGAGACAGCTTCTGTTATTACAGGTTCCGAAAGTGACGATACAAGCAGTTCTATATCAACTGTAATAGACAAATTTTCATTAAGTTCTAGTTATTCTTCTGAATCAGACTTAACTAATTATGGTCTTCTAAATGGTTCTAATAATGTGATTAATAAATCTGAATTAGCCAAGGTTTTGCAACCATTTACATTACTAGAAGAAGAGTTTAATGTCGATAGTTCTGCTCAATTAGAGGAATGTTTAAAAAAGTTAGAGCCAATTGAAATCAATCAAACAATTATTCTTGCAAATGAAGTGCAAGTGACACAAAATGAAAATGCAAGACCATATGAAAATGTTGAAATTAGTTTAAATAACAATACATCTAAACAAAATTTATTCAAGAATCAATATGAGAATATTGATTTATCTAAGAATAAGAGTTGCCAAGTTAATCCATATGAAAATATTGACTTAATATCAACTGCAAAAGTAGAAGGAACCAAGACGAATGATTATGAAAATATAGAAATTCCTTCAACGAATACATCTGACTTGCAAATTATTCAATATGAAAACATCGAAATTTCTATTCCTCCAACTCCAAAACCAAGAATTATAGAACCAAAAAGACGTCAAATTTTGCCCGTTCCAAGAAAAATTAATTTACCAACCAAAATTGAGATCAATCAATCTTCTAATACAGAAGTTAAATTAAAGAGTTCGCCCGAATCACAACCAAAAAGTAATTCTTCAGCAAATTCTCATAGCAGCAAATCGGATTTAATAACAAAAATTCCAAAAGCCATTACTTCCATGTTTTCCTCATCATCGTCTCAAAATTCTAAAAATATTGAACGAGCAAAAACTGATATTGATTTAAGAACTAAAGCAAAATCAACTTCTCCATCTGGCGAGCTGAGCAGTCTTCAAAGGCAATGTCAAAATTTTATTAAAAACGAAGTCCAAAATTCCTTAGAAAAGATATCTGTTAGATGTTTAAAATCATGTGACGATTTAGAAAGAATAGGTAAATCCAAAATTCCTGTTATATTGCCTTTGCGAAAATTATCTATTGAAGATGCTTCAGATCTAAATTATGTTGAAAATAAACCTCCTGTTATTAAAACATCACTTACTAAGCAAAAATCGGAAAGTGACTTAAAGCTAGCTCTACAAAGAACTAGATCTGGTGAGAATATCAAGATTAGTAATTTGCCCACATTCAAACCAGCAAATCAATTAAACGGTAATGAAAAGCCAATATTACAAAGATCACTGTCAGCAGATACTAAACAAATACCAGAAAGATCTACTCAAATACCAAAATTAAGTCAAGAAACTGTTGCAAAATTGAGAGGGCCAAAGCCAAAGCCTCCAGAACGTGTTCAATCTTTACAAAAATCAACTGGTATCCCAAAATTATTAAGTTCTCCAGCTGAAGAGTTTAAAACTTTTAAACCAAATGTCGAAAAGCCGTCATTAATGAAAAATGATTTGGGTCAAATGAAGCAAGTGCATAATAAAGATATCAAATTTAAAATTCAGACTTACGAAGGTAATTCTATAGAGCAAGATCCTCCTCTATTAAATGATTTGAATCGAAACCATTCGGCGATCAATTCAACTACTACAAACAAACTGACAAATAAAGTCGTTTGTCCCCTGCCAGAAGCATTGGGAAAAGATAAAAATAAAGAAATTGAAATAAATTCAATATCATTACCAGAAGATAATAAATACAATAATCAAAATATTGAAAATAATGTTGAAATTAAAGAAATTAAAAAATTTTCGGTTGATATATTTAAAAATATTGAAAACTTGGATATTAACGAAAACTTAGATCAAATTGAACAACCTGATCTCAATATTCCCGTAGTAGTGGTTGGAAAATGTAAAAAAATTGACGCTACTAATGAAGATAATTATATAGTAAGTAGTTCAAGTGAAGATGAAGATGACGAAAAAAATTATGATATTGAAGAAGGAGAAAAATTAGGACCACCGGAGTTAATTAATGGACCTGGACCATCAGAGGCATATTTTAATAGTTTTCCATGGCTCTCGAGTATGCTACCCACTATTGGAGAAGTCGAAGAAGAATTTTCTTCCTTAGAATTACAACAACAATTAGGAAAACAAAAGGAATTTCAATTACAGCAACAACAGTTACAATCTCCTTATCAAAAGCAACAGCAATGTAATAACGTGCAAAACCATGAGCATGTAGAAAACCAGCAAACTAATTTAGGTATGAACCAGCAGCCACATTTGCAAATTGAAAAATCATCGCAAGAGGATAAAGAATTCAAACAGTCCGAAGAAGCAATCCAACATTCTGAAACCTCTTCGGTTATGACGTAAGTATTACCGAATGCTCGAAATATTCCCAATCAACAGTGTTACATACATACAATCCACACAAACCATACATATATAAATACATGCGTACATACATATCGTTATTGGCACGATCAGTGCTGCCAAATATATTTGCTCAAATATCTTCATTTTCTTAAAATAAAATTTTCATTTTATAGATTCATTAAAAAAAATTCAAAAACCCTTTAAGATTTTTAATTGAAGTTAAATTGAAAAGAGTAGCAAGCCAAAATATCAAATTTCAATTCAAACCATTAAATTGAATTTTTTGTTAAAATGTTTTTTGTGAACTTTGGAAAATATGAAAAAAGCTGCAAAGAATTCGAAATTCGAAAAACTTGTGTAACATTAAAAAACCTTAAATTTGAAGGTATTTTTCTATCTAAATTTTAAAAATTTAAATTTTGAAGTTTGGTTCAAAAAAATATGAAATATGAAAGAAAAATCTTCGGCTTTGGCAGCGCTGCGCTCGATAGATTATGTTCTTTGATTCGTGCTTGTGAAAACAATCATAAAAGTTGTATACATTTGGTGAATTTCGGCCATTAAAAATTTCGCTCCCAACTACGCATATGTGTGTGTATTTTCATATAAAATTTTTTTAGCTAACCTTTGCCATTCAATAGAAGCATAATAAGTATGTGTGTACAATTCGTGCAAATGTATATACATTTAACAGTTATTTTTGTATTCATTAATTTTTTGATATTTCAGTCGGCCATTTGTCCTTATTAACGATATACCAGAATCGAAGCCAAAATCGCAGCAAGAGCAAAATCAAGAAAATGAGAAGCCAAAAGAAGAAAATTTACCACACGAACAACATTCAGAGCAAGAAAATATTGTTTTTTCCGAAAACAATTTATCAAATAATGGAGAAAGTGAAGCTAACTTTCAACAAGAGGACAATCAAATATCGTTGGATCTTCAAAATAGCCAACAAAGCAAAAAAAAGAATTTGTCGCACAATAAAACTCTTGCACCCGCGCCACCTTTACCAGTATCAAAAATAATGAAAACTTCTCAAACAAATATAATATCACTGCAGCAATCACAAGTTGATAACAAGCCGATAAATTCTGAAATAGAAATTCTAATTAATTCTGTTAAAACAAGTGATAAAAATTGTAATGGTATAACAGAAAGCAACAAAATTCTTGATAAAAATCCTATTGAGAATGAAATTTTGGGAAATTCAAATATAAATTTGGATTTAAATTCTAATTTAAATTATGGCAATAATGATCATAAAACAGAAAATATTTCCTTCATTCAAATTAATGATGATGACAATGTTGCAGGTATTGAAAATTCTGGTGAAATAACAGTTACACAGGAACAAAATATAAATGTTCAACATATACCAATTAAATCAAGTAAAGATGATGAACAAGTGATAGAAAATATTGATAATAAAGTAAGTAAAACAAAATCTGACATACCAGTTACTGAAACTACTTTAGAAATTTTACCAACAACATCATTAACGGAATGCACAACTCCAGATATTAAAAGTTCAAATATTGTTGTTAATGATATCAAAAATGAAGATAAGATAACATCAACAGCGAATAATATACAAACAGACGATGTTAATATTGCAAAAAGCTCTAATAGTACATCAGTACAAATTGAAAAACCTAAAACACCGGATAAGTGTGAAGTAAATAATCGTTCCGAAAAACGTGGTATACTAGTAAGTATTATTAAAAAAAGTTTATTTGGACGTGGGAGTGATAAAATGGATAAAGATAATAAAAAGAACGGGAAAAATTCAAAAAAAAGTACTGGAACTGACTCCATTTCAAAAACTGCAGAAAATAATTCTAATCAAGCAGAAATGAAGTCAGAGAAAATTTGTGAGAATAATATAAATCTAGAACAAAATGCGAATCAAATTGAAAACAATAATAACGGGCAAATGATTCTTACAGCAATATCAGAAAATAATTTTGAAAAAATTGTAACTCCATCTGACGTTCAAATTTCTAATGTATTAAAATACGAGACTTCAGATGAAAACAATACCAAATCAGATGATATAAAAAAATTTATTTCGGAGGAGAAGCAACTCATCTTATCAAGTAGTGAAAATCAAAATACTGGAGAAAATAATGCTTTCTCTGACACTGACATTAAAAATGTAAAAAATATTAAGGTGTCCGATAAGAAATCAAAAACTATTGATGAACTTAATTCCAAGTCCCATGAAGAGAAAAGAATTATTGAAGAAACGTTATTACAAGTAAGTAAAATTACTCCAGATCCACCAAGTATGTTTGAAGAAATAAAAATTGCAATTGTTGAAAATGTTACGTCTGAAGACGAAACTATTTTGGATGCAAAACTAGTACCAGTTAAAGTACAAACAAAAAATATTTCATCAGACGATAAAAACATGGTGAATCTGAAATCGTTTAAAAAGGATTCAGAAATAAAACCACAAGAAGAACCTGTTTTGACTAATATTGTGCGTGTTGAAAATTCTACTGAAATAGAATTACCGAATATAAAACTAATTTGTTCGGAGTTTGTCAAACAAGAAGCTCAAAACTCCAACAAATCAAATGAAATTAAACGATTTTCAAAAAATTTACAAACAAAAGAAACAACAAATCAAGAAGAAGATAAAATAAAAGTAATTAAAAAGGTTGCGCCACCTCCACCAGTAAGAACAAATAAGATTCCATCTTCTAACGTTTCTAAAAACGAGGTAGATACTTCAAAAGTTTCTAAAAAAGAAATTATTAACCTTGATTCAGATAAAATGAAATCTGAAACCATAAATGGTAAACTTGAATTAATTACATCGAAAGTTGAAGAACAAACTTACAAACTTCCAAAATCTAATTCAGTTGAAACTTTAAAAGAAGAAATAAATGAAAAACCATTAGTTAATGGGCGGCGATTTTCAGAAGGCCAAGATAATATTGATAAAATTCTTGAACGCGATGCATTCTATTGGAAATTATTTAATAAGAATCGTTCAGAACCTTCTGGTAAAGAAGATGAAATTGAAAATAAAAAAATTGATGAAAATAATCTATCTAATAAAAAACAAGTAATTGAAAATATTGACATAAAAATAAATAAAATTGAACCTAAAATTTCTGAAGAAAAACCATCATTAGATCAAAGAATAATTTTAGGAGACGAAGATTCAAATTCTAAAAATAATCTGAAAATTAAAAATAAATTACATTCTAGTAATGAAAAATCGAAAGGAATGAAATCAACAAAAGCTGTAGCTAGTAGTGATTCGTATGAAAATTACAACTCCGATGTTGTAGTTAATAATGCTAAAAATACTGATACGGAACAAAAACTTTTTTCAAAAGTTGATTGTAATGAAACAGAAGTTAACGATTTAAAATCTTTAGCAGATCTTGATGATCCACTTATTGAGATACCAGCAGAATCTATATGGAATGTTAAACAAGATAAGAGTGATGAAAATATTGAAAATCCTGAAATTAAAATGGAAATTTCTGTAGAAACAGAAATTTTAATGAAGGAAAACTCTAATAAAGGTTAGTGAATATTGTTTTATTTAAAATTAATTTTAAATTTAATATTATTACTAATTAAACACACGCAATATGTATAATATGCTTGAACAAATGTAATTTATTATTTAAAGGGGTTATGATTAAACAAATGTTATATGTTAAAGAAATGAATTAGTGGCCTATTGCACATTCAAATTAAATTTTATTTGAATCGATAAATTAATTGTTGAAATTTTTACTTTTTAAATATAATATAGTGAAAATATTCGTCTTTACTACGTCTTACGTATAGGTAGTCTATTTGATAGGTCTTCAAAAATGAATTAAGTTCATATTGACAACAATTCAATTGTTTGGAAGCTCTTCAGTCTCTTCATGTTTCAAATTGCAAATAAAACTGCATCGAATCAATCGAAGAAGCAAAAAAATAAATTTTTTTAAGTTTATAGCTGCTTAAATCAGTGTACAGCAATGTTAATTAGATGCATGTGAATTAAAGATTATTAACCGATTTCAATTGTTATATGGTTTTCGCTATTTTATGGGTTTGAACATTAAAAATTTCTGATGAAATAATATATATGTAATTTAATATTTTTAACCTTTTGCACTATAATTGTTTTTCTAATTTGTTCTCGGCCAATTCTGATTTAATTTTTCTGGTTTTGATATCATATGTTAGGTATGAAGTAATTACTTGGAGTTACTACCAAATGTGCGCAACCTTACAGACGAGAATATACTCAATGCTAACAAAAATTGAATTGCGCACGCATGAATAACTGTTTTGTCACGCCATAGGTGACTTGAGTTTTAGAGAAAAATATTTTTGTCACGCCAGAGGTGACTTCAGAGTTTTAGAGAAAAATATTTTTGTCACGCCAAGACAGAGTGACTTCATAGTGCAAAGGGTTAATAAAAATATGCATAAGTTTTTAATATGTATGAATTTTGAAAATTCAAGATTTAGTTTTCAAATTAGGTTTACAAACTTAAAACAAAATTGATATAAGTTTTAATTTTCAAAGAATTTAATTAAAATTTTTTCATATATTTACTTTATTGTTATGCTGAATTGCTGGTTACAAGTGAAAATCACCTAGTTATAATAAAACAATAATGGTTTGTTAGCATTACGTTGCGCAGAACTTATTACAGAATTTTAAACAATTACAGAATTGAGAAAGGCTAAATATGCAAGTGTGAATATGTATATACCCATGTACACTTAGCCTTTCCCTTTCTTCGTGTTAAGTTTTAAAAATATAATTCGATATTTTACATGATTCTCTGGCATAATCTGGTGTTTCACAATTACTTTTGTGTTTAACATGTGAATAGACAATATAATTAGCAAAATTAAGTATTTTAGTAATACAAGTATAAGCCGTAGTATTGTATGTGGTAGAAAACCGAAAACATTCTCTTGAAAAATATTCATATTTAAAAAAAAAAGATAAAAAATTTAAAAATTCTTTTTCTTTAAATAAATTTTCATTTTTGCGCTTTCTCAAACGGGGAGACAAAGTGAAAATTTTTAAATTAAAATATTAATTGGTTTAAGCATCGTTCATTTTTTGGAATCGATTTTTTTTTTTTTTTGTACTTCTATTGTTAGTATTTTAGTTATTTAGTAGATATTTTGTATGATAGTTATGTTTATTGGACATTTTTAGTTGTTTTTGATTTTTGTTTTTCTCTTGTTTTCTGAAATCGTGCTTTGATGTTAAATAGAGTTGTGATAATAAAAATCGTGGCAGTTTTATGCACTATCATTGGCGTCGATTGAAGGTGGGAAAATTGTAACATTTTTGAATATTTTGCTTTTTGTTTTTTTTTATTTTTTTCTGGTAAAATAAATTAGTGATTCCGTTAGACATTTGTATTTAAGGTTTTTTCTTCTCAAAGATTATTTAAAATTTAATGGTATTTCATTTTAATATTACAAACTTATTTATAATAAACATTCTGGAGCTATTTACAAATCTTATAGTTGCTCCAAGTATTTTCAAGTGAAAATCATTTTTATTTTAAAAAATAATTTCATTATTGCTTTTATTTATAAAATTTGAAATTAAGAGCCTGATCGTCTATCCCGAGCCTGATTTTACTCGGAAGGTAAGTAACTTATATCCTTGTATAATGTAATTTTCGAGTGAGAAGAATTATTTGATATTCCGTATCTCGTTTTTTTTTCTAAAATACATACAAAATTCACTTCATATATTCAATTTATTCACTTTGTTTTTGAAAGTGAAACGTTCAGTTGCTAATTTAAGATAAAATGCAATCCAATTAAAAAAAATGAGTAATCTTATTGGAAAAGTGAAGCATCCACTTGAAAATACAGAGAATTTTGTGTTGAAAGTGAATAAAAAGTGAGTAAAAAAGTGAGATACACGATCAGGCTGTAAATTTTCCATATGTGACGATTTAAAAAATATTAATTCGGATAATTTTATATGTTTCTCTTGCTTAATAAGAATGTTTTGTGTTTAACATCACTTACACTATGTATAAGTCTATATACAGTATGCATTTATTTCTTAAGTCTTAAGACTTTAAAATCTAGTTCTTAAAATTTTTATATAAAAGCATTAGAAATTGTCTTACAAACTGGAATTTTGAATTATTCAAGTTTCGTTTCTATTTACATTTTTTTTTGAAGAATCGTATTTATTCATAGCATTTGCGGCAAACACTGAAAATAGAAAAACATTAACGAAAAATCTATTTTGTAACATATTTCGAACATTTTTTTCCATATGAATATGAAAAAGTAAAAGTTGTCTAACAAATGAAATGAAATTAAATTAATCCTTTTTCTCAGATTTCATTGAATAGATCTTTTGTTTCACGAATTTGTTTTTATTATTTTTTTTGGTTTGGTTGTGACACTCTAATTGGATATGTTTTGCTATTTTTTACACAAAAAATAACAAAAACAAATGTTTGATTTCTCTCGGCTTAATTATGTCATTAATAAAGATATTGAAAATTATTGTTGGAATTAAATTTAATCCATACAAAACTTTCATGTTAAATTTTTAATTAAATTGAAATAATTTTGATAATCAATCGATTTTGTAGATCATTTACCCATCATTGTTCATATATAATGAAATAATTAAATTCTTTTTTTGGTTTAAATAAACATTAAAACCAATTAATAATAATTAAAACGATAATTCTGAAATTAATGATTTCATTAAGTTTTTGAAATTACAAGATTATTAATTAAGGAAAAAAAAAATATTCATTTTTAATTATTAAAATGTTGGAATTTTAATTTTTATAATCTAAGTGTTTATATGCGATATTTAAAATACAAAAATTATTTTTATTAGCGCGTATTTTGGTTTTGTTTTTTAACTTTTAAAAGTTATTGAAAATTGATAAGAAAATTAAAAAATTTTCATTGAACATTATTTAATTTGAAAAATCATTATTTTTTTTATTCAAATTTCATTTGTGTACATTTGCTTGTGAATTTGAATTTCTTTGACGATAATTACTCTGAAGAATAGTAGACAAGGAGGCTTAAATCTATCGATAAGTAAATCTGAAATAATAAGTGAAGTTGCATTGTTTGAAATCTAACAATATTCGGAAACAGTTTGAATAAACTTGAAGTGGAACTTATACATAGTTCAACAAAATCCAGATGCTTTAAAAATATAAATTGGTATATATATAGATCCGTTAGGGTATAATACTAAAGAACACGAATTTGCCATGGGTTTAGGTCAAGTTACTAGCCAAAACTAGAACAAGATGGAGAATCAAGTATAGAAGCCCTATATACCTCCTAAGTGGAAACGAATTATAAATTAACGTTTCATTTTCAATGCAGATATTGAAAATGAAACGTTAATTTATGAAGTTACGATTATTATCGTTCATAAGCGTTCATAAAAATTATAGGGACAACTGCGTTAGCTGAAATAACAGTTCTTTCCAAGATTCAGTATAATACATTATAATGTATTATAATGAAACCTGTTCAAGATAGAAATATTACAGCATGGAAAGGAGAGAAATATGAGAATTTTTAATAATTTTTTAAAAGAAGAAAAAATATACCGCATGTATAAAATTTGTAGGGGGAATTTTATCTTGTACAGACGTCATGTATTAAAATTGGGGTAAACTGTTTTCAATGATAATTTAGAAAAAAATTTCTCTTGCCATCATTTTTTAATAAAACTTTTCCAAATATTTTTGGATTTTAAGTAATATTTTTTATATTGCTTGAAATCTTTAACACTTCCTTAATGAATTTTAGAATTTATTTGAAAAATATTGCTTTATTCCTGTCTTCTTGTTTCTAAGAATATGCGAATATTCGATTATAATACACACATACATATGTTATAATTGATGTTATAATTGATGCTGATTAAATTTAATTCTGTAAAAAAAAAATGTTCTTTTTTTAATGTATTCATCAATTTATTCTCGTTTTGATTTTATAATTTTTTTTTTTTTTAAATATTTTTAACAATGGAATTCAAAATCAAAATCTTTAGATAGAACATTTCATTTTATGGTTCAACAATATTAAGTCATTCATTGAAATCATAAATTTTATATTATTGACTTATAAAATATTTAAAAAAAAATGATTTTTTGACCCTGAATTGCTTTTAACCATATAGGTACTATGATAATAATATGTTAAATTGCATAAGAATGACCTTTTTGATATTAAAGAAAGAATAAAATTTAAAAAGATTAAAATTATTTTGCTATTATAAATTATTAAAATAGTAACATGTATGATTTGAGATATGTGAATTAAATCAGCGTTATTATATTATGGTATAATTTTCATGACGTTTTAATTACCAACTATAAGATAGCAAGAATTTTCGGTTTTTTATATAGAAAGAATTTTAGTTTTTTTTTTTGTTAATTTATTACTGAAAAATTCAAATTTTTTCACTTATAAATATTAACGGAGTAGAGACCATTTTGATATTACTGGGGTATTAAATTTGACGCCCGCGAATACTTTGGAA